CAGAATATTTGTTTGCACTGTTATTATCAGTTAAATCAGGAAGGAAAATTACTTCCTAGTAGAAGTCATGGATGTTTGTTTGAAATATTATCAGTACTACATTTAACAATTGTGAAACAAACTATCAGCTTATACTAATCACTCTTTGTGGCACGGTTGGGATCGTGTGAGGGGTCTTACTCTGGTGGAAACCAGAGTACCTGTGGTAAAGCCCACCTGGTCAGGCAGCTGACCCAATAACTTTTTACATTCGATCCAGGAATTGAACCCTGGACTGCTAGGTAAAAGGCACGTGCATTACCACTGCACCACCTGAGCACCCAAGTACCGTTAATTTGTGCATAAAGTGCACACTTTTTAGGCAAAGACTGTCGTGTCAAAAAGGGGTTGTGTACTATATGGGGTTATCATTCTCGAATTCTCTGTCCACCATAAACATCAACTATAGCTCCGTGGTAACCGGTAATCAATATTTATGTTATATATATTTATACTTTTTTTTCAATCTGACCCCAAAAATGTACTTGCGCACTATACCCGCAAATTTACAGTACTCAGTATTATGACTACACTGCACTTTAAACTATTATTTCTACACAACATAAGCTAAAGCGTACAGCTTTTCAACAAGTTTCCCAATGAGTAGGTCTCCATGTAATTCTAAGTATCTAAAGTACATGTATACCCTCATGTTCTAGTTTTTTAAAAACAGTATCCTTGACCATGATGGTTAACCTTCACCCTAGAATAGCTAAAATCCTGAATGAACCATAGTGTGTCTAGTTTCTGCACTCAGAACCTGAAGTCATCTCTGGAAACAAAGTGTGAACAAACGGATGCACATGTTTGTGCAATTTGCTGGTTCATATATAAAATATATAGTGTATATATTTGTAAAACAGTATAATTAAATGGAAAACATAAAAAATATTGTTGCATATTGTTTTGAAATTCATGATGCATCATTACCATTTCAAATCCATTTTTTTTATATCATTTCAATTTCTTATGATTAAACTATTGCCCTGAACAAGACAAAAAAAATCATTTCTCAGTCAATTGATAAAGAATCATTAATTATCTAAATTTCTAACCTGCTTTAAATTAATCTGGGTTTCCTATATATTCATAACTCCAGAAAGTTTTCATGTACCTGCACTTCACAAAATAATGTCACCAAGAACAAATTTGTGAATTACAGTATCCCACCCACACACCCATCCTTATCTGAAGGTGAGCTCATACCCTAGTATAAAGTTCTAGAGACAGGCAGTGTAGGAAATACAGCCCATACAATCTTTTTCTTTGATATAGTTCATAGGTCAAAATGTAGGTCAGAGTGACCTACTTATGATACATGCTGCACCATCTCAATATGGTGAACCCAAATCCCAAGTATTAAGTTTACATGATTAGTTTTGTACAAGATCTCATCTAGGGTATTTCCTGACATGATTTTTGGAAAGTTCAATTGAAATTCTATAGAAATCAATGTCATTAAAAGATACTACTGAACCGGTGACCTTGACCATCAAACCTCAAAATAAAAACTAAGGCAATAATTTCTGATACATAGCTTTTGTTAGCATGTACTCTGTAATTTACAGGTATGTCCTTTACATTCAGTTTCTTCTACGTAAATGAAATTTGATGAGTTATGACATTGATTTAGGATGGGATGCAATGGGACTTATACAGTTTGGACAGGCTGGGGTAACATTGTAATATATGCTCTCTACCCTAATAATACCAGACAAACTCTAAATGTTTTTAAATATTTTTCAGAAAATTAACATAAATTAAAAGTAATTCACATGATCATGTTTGTTTCTTTCCTGTTTTCATTTTTATTATTTTTTTTTTATTTCAGAAACATTAATAATTATCTATATATTCATACAACACACTTTGTGTTACCAGCTTATATTTAATATGCACACAATGCAGAGCTGTTAATGCCATGTATTATATACATACCTGGTGTATATGATATATAGATGAAAGTCTATTTGACTTCACCACCTACACAGTACAATAACCCTAAACTATGGGATAATCTACGTCCAGCCCAACAACTGAGGAAAGGAAGACAGGTATTTTATGAGAAGAGATAACTTGTAAACCACGTCAATGGGAGTAAACCTTGTAAAACAAATATTGATACGTGACTTTGGTCAACAGGTATCACTTACTAGGTCCTCATCTAGCTCATATACACGGACAACACTTGACATTTTTGAAAAGTAGAGTGATTTCTTACCTATTTACAACTAGATAATCATTGAAATGAAAAGTGGCTGCTGTTCAAAATCACACACAATCATAATGAAAGTGACATTGATAATTGAATTTGAAAAAAAAATCTAAAAATCTATTAAGAAAGCAGTGGAGTAAAATAGAGACCAGAATTTTTTTTGGTCTTTTGTTTAGTATTAATGTTGTACGAAAACCAATAAAAACCTGTATTTAGTCAACTGATTGCATTTCAGCATGAAAGGCTCTATCCCAGTCGTCAAACAACCTTAAACTTTAGGGAAATAATCAGCCTTCATGCATCTTTAGTGTTCTTTTGCTTTCACTTTCAGTAAAACCATGGCATTGATATTTGGCTCGAAAGGCACATACAATGTTCTGAATGAGAACATTCTACAAGTAGAATATGTGTGTATCAGATTTGTAAACATTTTTTACACATCCTTAAATGTCTATGGCACAAGTGACCTTGACTTTGAAGCTTTTGCCCCGAAATGTCATGCCAAATCGGCACTTTCATTGAGGAATAAAGAAACATTAATTTCAATGATTCTATGGGAGTTTGTAGAATTTTTGTTTTGAAAAAAAATACTGCAATGTTTCTTAAAAGTAATAATTTGGGTAAAATGGGGTAGGCTCTGGTATGTCCACAGAACCATTTCCAAAATTTTTTGAGGTCCAGTTACAAAGAGATAGAGTGGGTTCTCAAAACTTGAATAAGTCCTTCAGGAAAAGCATGAGTCCAGGACTCAAATGTTGGGTACCAAAAATCACTGGGTATGGTGAAATGGGTAACATTAAGCTTCTGTAAACCATCACCAGAAAGATTAATAATTACAGAAGTGCTATAGTTTCATCCACATCAATATACCTACAGTCTATATTTGAGGATTTTCATGTAAAACCAATTCTCATGATGGAATACTTACCATAATTTTAGTATGCAAATATAGTACCTGGACCCTGCTTCGTAGCCCCAAAACAAAAGATAAAAATATCCCGCCCTCCCTACTGACTAATTTCTGGCCATTTGCTGCTTCCACATCTTTGAGTGTGTGCCACGTGGTCCGACATTACGGTTTCACCGTCCACATTTTTTATCTGTTTTTCAGTCTTGTTTCCGATTTTTGCCAGTTGCTTGCTTCGCCTACGTTTATTTATTCGCAATGTTATAGTTGTCATTATAAGTATGTTTCAGACTGGTTTACGTCAGTGTATGGCTCATGGGTGTCCACATTTCTTTTAAGAATGGGACCCCCATGATGCTTGTCCATTTTGTCCTCCTTGCAGTGAGCCTGCTTCGTGTGAACTGTTTTCATGAGGAGTCTCAACTTAAGGTTTCCAAGCCTTCTCGGGGACCTTCATTCTGCCGTAAGAGGGAATCATTCTCTTCTTCCGGTAAGAGAAGAAAGCCTGTTAGGCCTTCTGCCACCGGCTCTGAGCCAGTCGGCGATTTAGCTGTGCCTGCCTTTGGAGTACTCACCTGTTCAAGTTCCTCTCTTAAGCAGGGGGTACTCCCTTCTGTCCAGGTGAATCCTAGAGTAGGGGGAGAGAACAAACCAACCCTGGCTTGGAGCAGCCCTGGGTTGAATTGGCTGGTAGTTCCTGTATTCCTTCAGGTCTGCTTTCAGGTAGGGACTTTCAGCCTATGGTCACTGATCCCTTCAGTGACACTGGCCCACCAGGTGGTGCTGTTGGTGGAAGCTGCCTTGATGCCAGGCCTGTTCTTTTGAGCTCAGGTCTGGTGGTTCAGACTTCTTTTCAGGGTTGTCTGTTTCCACTGGGATTAGCAATGGGCAGCTTGCTAGCCCTGGCATCAATGCTGAGCCACCTTTCCCACCCTCTCAGGTTCCTGGTCCTGGTCCTTTCCAGCCCAGTACAGAGTATCCTGTGCAAGGGTGCTCAGGGGGTTCCCCACAAGGGTCTGGGTTTGCCAGTCAAGCAACCGCTTTCCGGTCTCCTTTTCCCCCTTGTCCAGGGTATACAGATGCCTGTAGGCAACCATCTTTAGGCCATTTAAACCAGCCTGCGGATATTTTTGGGTTATCCCAGCAGTTACGATCCTAGCCCGTACATGTCAGGGTTTCTACCTGGTTGAAGTGGTAACCCAACTTCGTCCTTCGGCAGATATTTCTTCCTTGAATCCCTGGGATTTGGTCTTTCCCTCTAGATGACTTAGAAGCTGCATTGACCCCCCTCCCCCCAACATTCTGCTACTTCAGTGGCCTTGTCACCCGGTCCTAAAATGGTTTGCCGGACCTTAAAGACTTAAAGACCCATATGGTCTCTGGTTGGGGAACTGTCTCATGGTAATTCTCTTAAGTTAGCCCCTCTGGCTGGCCCTTTTGGACTTCCACCGTGCCCACAGACCCATTGGTCTCTGGTTCCGAGGGGTTGACTGCAGCTTCTTAGCTTACAGCCACAGCTGATAAGCGTTCTGCGCCTAAATGCCGTATTGGGGAGCCGTCTCAGGATACTTCTCTTGGGTTGGCCCCTCTGGCTGGCCCTTTTCCTCCCCTTGGGACTTTTGGCCCCAATGAGAAGGAGGATCTGGATTGTGAGAGTGCAGGTATGGCAAAGGAGGAGGATGCCATTCATCTCTCTCCTGGTTACTCGGATACAGATATTGTAGTTTATTGGATAAAAAATTTGAGTCCTAACATAAGCAAGGCATGTCTCTGTCCAACATACACCTATAATCTAAGGCCACATTATACTTTACAGTATACTAAACAACCATTTCTTACCTATTCTATTGTATTCCTTCAACTCCTCTGGGCTACTTCCTGTCACACTTCCACAGACCTCTGTCGGCAGTGGTTGAAGTAAATTATCAATTTTGTCAGAAGCATGTTTCAAGTCTTCCATAGCTTGTTTAAAGTATCCATTGATATTGGAAAATTCTAAATGTTTTAATTCATTATACAACTTTTCTTGGCTATCTTTATCCAATGACTCCCAATACCATAGTAGTTGACTCTGGTCATGATCTTCCAGTTGTGATTTCAAAAAATCTATATCCATATTTTTGTCTGAAGATTAGATCCCTAAAAAAAATAAAAGCATAAAAACTGACAATTTCAAGCATTTCAACAAACAAAAAACATTAAGACAAAATCATATGATAATTCTAAAATGAATAGAATCTAAAAAGAAAAAAACAAATACAAAGAACTTTATTCCTATTGCAACAACTGTCAAAACAACGTAGATAAATCATCCTTGTTGGCTTGGGTGGAAGCTGGCATGGTGTCATGGAAGGAAACCAATGTATCAACGGTTCCTTTTCACATTTGATAGGAGTATCAAACTCTGGTCCTTTAGATGAAAAGGTGAGTGCATTACCACTATGCCATATCTAACCTCCAGAAAAAGGATTAAGACTACTATTACAATATGTACTGTTATATAATTTTGTTGTCATCAAAGATTTTTCGTTTCACGAATTCTACTCTGCCATTAATTATTTGTTCATATTTTGGCATAAAAAAAAATTGTATTACATAATCAATAATATTGAATATTGGGAGAATTCCAATAAAAATACAGGCTGAAATATGTATATATCATTATATGTCTTTTGTGTAGGTAGTCTTAAATAACGGTATCAAAAGCATTTTTATTTGACCAAAGTTGAGTATAGACATGGATAACTGGTGGTGGTGACCTAGGTTTGATTCCAGTCAAGGCACTCAATAGGAATGTGTCTTTCCTATTCTGTTACAGTACACATTGTATGCTGTCATATCCCGTCAGCTCAAACAATACTATGCATGTCTGATATCAAACTTTCAGATGTATGTGATCTGCTTGATATTGACAACTGTCAAAGTACTGTTATTTATTATACCACTATACTACTGCTACTAAGCACGCCTTCAAAGTAGTTCAAGCATGTCGGACCGGTAAGTTAACTGCTTGGGGCAGCAGTATGTCAAATACCAACAGTTCATAATGTCAGACCACGTATTGGCTCGTCAGAAATATTTAAGGTCACTGACAGGTAACTATAATAAGTTATCTATGGAATTGCAATCGATGCAATTTAATTAGGAGACTCAAAAACAGTGATAAGTCGTTGACAACTTCATATACATCGGCACTTCAACTGTCAGAAAAAACACTGGTGCTTCCAGAACCATGTAATCGGTGAATACATAGTTATCAAACTCAAACAGAGTTTTATGATGTATCAAAATATAGACAATAATATGCAAATGTCATCTTACCTGATACACTAAGTGCAGAAACTCCGTGGACCATAAACTTAACAGAAACGTGACTGCAGACGACGCAAGTACACAAAATAGTGAGAACAACCCACCGGTACCGGATGTAACACGTGTAACATTTGAGCAAAAATCATTCCGCGCAAAGTAGTTTCATTTTAATAGCATCATATATGAAAATGAGTTACTAAATTACAAATAACGTAAACCAATCGCAAATTCATACAATTTTGAAAAATATGAGATTTTAAAACAAATAACATAACTTGCAGAACCTATTATCGCATATGCTCACCTGTTGGCGGACGAATTTCGATTCGGGTTCGTTCGATACGAAATGTTAACAGTATCAACCGCATACCCAAATATTCTTTAGAAATCAACCAGGAAGTTAGGGTGTTAGGAATTCATTGGTTGCTTGTACAATATAAAAAAATGTCTGACCCACATACAGTATTTTTAATTGAGCGTGTATAGCATTGTCCAATAATGTACACAATAGTTTTTTATCAGTTTACGCAACAAATGATTCCTGTTACCCTACGTACCTACCCTTATAATTTGTGTCGACACTAAACATTTTAAGACAATTTTCTAAGATGCTTTGTTAAAGTAAAAATCTCTCTACCTACCCTTAATGTTCCAAACCTGTCACAAGAGTCATTTTTTTTGTCTGACTACACGTATATATATCGCCTGCATTTGTGGTCGGTACGATGATGTGTTTGACTACTATGAGTTTCGTTGCATTTAAAGTCATAGTTTGAAATTATTTGCTGTGTTTTTCGCGCTGTCAACTGTCATGGTCATTTTGAGGCGGTGTCTTCTTTCAGAAGCTGGTGTTTACCTCATTAAAAACGAGAGGCCTAGCGACCTTGACGGTCACCTGAGATAAGCAATATTGAATATAAAGGTTAAAGGATAGTTATCAAGTGTCAAGGAACAGAAATTGTGACACTGAATATAGTAAGCCAGTGTTAATACATGCATACCTGTCATCCTATACTGATGATTCTTAGAAAGTGATATTCAGTGGGATATAATCAACGTTATGCTCAAAAATGATATGTTTCTATGGAAATTACAGTAAAGTATAAAAAATGTTCCTACCCAGGAAGAAATGTGAGACTCATTTCGATAATTAAAGCGCCTTAAGATGCTTTCATTTATGAAGAGCATTTGGTTCTATCATATCTGGGTGTTGAGAAGAAGATTTTTGAAATTTAAGTCAATTTGACCCCTTTTGGCCCCACCCATTACTCCCTGGAGGTCAGCCAGGATCAATACAGACTTACCATCAGCCGTCATCTTTCACTCATAATTCTAACCAAGTTTGAAGTATTTCCAATGGAAATTAAACAAATTATGCTCAAAAATCTAGTTTTCCTATATAAGATATAATATATTTTACCCCCTTCCCACGGGAAAATGTGAGAACCTGTGGCCATGAAATTCACTATTTTGGTAAAGTGTCTTAAGATGCTTCTATTCTTGAAGAGTATTTGATTCTACCATATCTGAGTGTTGAAATCCGAGTCGATTTAACCCCTTTAGGCCCGACCCCTCATGCCCCTGGGGGCGGAGACTGTATATTTTACAATTTTGGTTCATCTTAGGCCAGGGAAGGGATCAGCAAAATTTCATTGATATCGGATCAGGGTTTTTTTTTTTTTTTTTAGAGAAGTCGGAATAGAATAGGTCACCATGAGACTTTGTCTCAAGTAACCTAAACATGCGGAAGCACCAACGCTTACATTAAAAATTACTATTATAGTACTATTATTATATTCTGTGTTGTTATTATTTCATGACGTCACATATACATGTATACCTGTAGTAACGTCATACTTACAGTATTTCATCACGTTACTGATCCGTAGTACATATATCAGACATATATATATATGTGTGTGTGTGTGTGTGTGTGTGTGTGTGCGTGCGTGCGTGTGTGTGTGTTATTGAAATTTCCTCTATATGGTGCATTGCATATATGATTTTTGATAATTTAATTACGTATATAATGTACTTGTACCTATATGCTGTATTGCTGTAAGTGCAGCGTCCTTATTGCCATAATGTGCCCATGTTTGGTACCTCGTGTTTTTTGTCTCCTTTCGAAGCGGCTGGCTTAATCCTAATGACTCCCTTCACACTGCCTCTGCTTTGACATGTGATTCAGTGGTGTGTCGTTACGGCTCCCCGCTCAGGCCGAGACGAAGTACAGTATCGTTTAGTACGGTGTATTCTCGTTAACTAGGACACGCGACAGCCATGTTAGTTGCATGGGCTTTTCTTGTTTTGAGTAACACTGGGAAGAGAGTTTATGGAAATTCCTTTGTGCAAGGGTTTTTTTTTGACTGGCAAGTCTAACTCTCTGTCGAACCCCACGATCTCCCGGGAAAAAAATCAGTGTGTAGTTAGCGTTGCCATGATACGGTTACACCAGATGTATCAGAAGCTATATTAAAAAATGAAATAAAAATAAAATAAAAATGGGCAGTGAAATGTTGATAGAAGTCTATAGTCTATTTCCCATTGATTTACCTGAATTTACCTGCGTTTAATCTTTGGTTACCTGTATCATCTAGCGTATGTTACAAAGTGATATGAAATGATGAAATTTCATTGACTCAATAGATAAAATACTTCGTTTTACATATTCTTACTTTATGTTAGTAAGGCATTGAAAATACCGACAAATTAAAGAAAAATATCTTAATATCTTATTATATGAAATTTTAAGAAGATTAGAATTAATTAAAACTTTAGATTTTCTTTTTTATATTTAGTTAAATAGTGACTCTTGTATCATCATTTTGGTATCCTTGATACTCCAGTGGTTAAGATCAATTTATCTCTTTGCCCCCCTGGAACATTTTCTGGCAAAACTGCTGTAATGGCAAAAGTGAGGTAATTTGATTGGTCTAGAACTTCAAAGCCAGTCCAAAATACCACTATACCACCTCAGGTTCCGTTTGAAGTTCATGAAATGCACAAGATGTTGCACACGGAATCACAAAATTTGCCATAAAATGTTCCAGGGTGCAGCGAGCGATAGTAAGCGTAATCCCTGGATCATCGAGGATGTCATTTTTGGCTACTAGACATTCTCAACCTTGTCGGCCTCGCCAGCGCCACTGTGATGAAACTCTCTTCACCTGCCCTAACCCTTCTAACAAATTAAAGTGTACACCATTCAATGCCAGTTGTGCTCACTTGTCTACTCTCTACTGACTCTTCCTGACTCTACAGCGGACTTAGATTACATCTTGGTCCAAAACTCTACAATAGACGAACATGATGGACTTCAGCTTCCCTCCACGTCCTGCAACAGCCATAGTTGACCTTCGCAGCCCCAAAACGCTTTACATATATGCCACGTGTTCCCAGAAATTACCATCAATGACTGTTTTTCTCCATTTTACACGTGCATGTGGAGAAAAGGCAAGTAAATCGGACTTCAGCATCTTCAGAGAGAACGACAACATCAATAGATTTGAACATGCGCTTAACTGCCTTGCTACTTTTCATACACCACGAGAGAGAAGATGATGTGCACGTGCGGGTCGATGAGTTAAAGAAACTGGAGGGTGTAGACTTTGTCGTGGACACTACGCCCTTTCCCGCCTATGTTATTACACAACGGATTGATGGATACCATCGAGTTCTTGTAACCACCGCGACACAGAGAAATCTTGCACCACAAACGACAAGTGCAACTAGACTACGTGGGAAGCCATACCGATTCGTCAACAACAGCCTGGCTCAACGAAGAGAGCACCTTCAGACTCCGAGAATCAACATCATGGAGTACGAAAACGTATTATCTCATCTTTTTCACTTGGGTTGAATTCCTTCACACAAAAGTGTTTACTATAATGTGTAATGTTCTGGACCTACATGTATCTATGTCACGTGTTTGTATCTACATCGTTTACTAAAAGCTGTATGCTATTTCATAGCAATGATATATAATTGTGTAAGGTGTGTGTGAAATGTTACATAACTGTTTGTATTTCATGTCAACAAAAGCAATATTATTATGTAATGTTTATCAAGAAATGTAATATTTTTCAAAAAGAAATATATTTTAAATCTATAGTAACTAATATAGAATCTCTGGCTGACAGATAACACAGGTAAAATGCCCAGCCATAACTTGACTTACGAGGAACTACACTTTATACATATTAAAACATACAAGCTATTGGCTAAACATGAATTGGGTGAAATAGAACGTGTATGCTCTGATCCACTGATAAGTGGTTTGACCTACCTTTACATATATCATAAGGAATATATATTAAGTATTGAACTGATTATGATGTGTTTGTCACTGTCTTCATACAACATCTTTTTTGTCTTATAAAAAAGTGGACGAATCGTGATTAGGATTAACGGCTAATCTTTATCCAAACTTATCTCGTATGGAACACCCGTGTCGGTAAGAAAAGCTTTTACTCTCACGGGGGTGAGATTAAAAGGATTTTACATGGATGTCGGTGTTATATGAAAGTTTAAGAGAACATCAAACGACATCTGAACATACCCTAATGTTTATGCTTCGGATATGATAGCAAATCTAACTTCTGAACCCGGTTTTTTTTCTGTCTGTCTGCGCACAATTATATGCATTAATAACAAAAAGAAATCTGTCTAACCATGTGTACGTGCGAAATAATTGACAAAATGTTTGTAATCTGATACATGTATTATTATATATAGCAAAAACTCTACCGTGTGTATATATATATACACACACACACACACGCACACACACACACACACTGTACCTTTATATCTTTTTTAAATCTCATTTCTCATTCGGTTTCTAAGCTTATTTATTCCATATTCAAAATTATATGATTATTGAATAAGATATTGTTTGAAATAAACACGAACTTAAGATATCTAAGTCCGTGAAAGGAGTAGCTTAGTATGAGAGTTTTGCAATTAAGCCGTCAACTGCCAATGGTTTTAATCGAACGCACTGTAACATTATCATCAACAACAGAATGTATGACGTAGTACGCACGGAAGTGACCAAAGAAAGATGCTGTGGTTCAAGTGCAATGAAATTATACCTGGAACAGCAATAGGTGTTGCATTTATTGGGGTTGCCTTAAGCTTTTGTTTATTTCTATACGAAACAGTACCCGTTCCGGATCTCCATGTAATTTGCAGGTAACCTATGGTTCGCGTAACATAAAACTCGCATGTGTTGCTCATTAATTATATAACACCCCTTGTCCGTGGTTATCTGTGTATCGTTTGTGTTTGGGCATTTAATTCAGTAAATTTAGTGCCGTTGTTTAAATTTCTGCAAGATTTCAATGGTTTAAAATTCTATATTGATATTAATTTCCTTGGAAAGCGTAAACACTGTATTTGATACTTGATATAGGGATCTGAATGGCCCTGATATGCATATATATGTGGAGTAGCGCGTGACATATGATACCCATAATTATATGCTTAATATTGTAAAAACGTCCTTAACTCTCATGCATAAAAAAGTATTCTTATCTTTGATGATGGATAGTGTTTTTTGTTATTAAACTTTATATTTTGATGCTCATTGATGCAAGATATATGTAGTAAATAAATATTTAGCCATGAAATTGTAATTCTGAAAATAATATTATATGGTGTTCTTAGATATATATAAACAGTGTTTTCAGACATAAATGGGTAGGACATTAGGAATTAGTCATGTAGGATCTGTTTTACAAGTCAGTCGTCTATATTTTAGACAGGACTCAGGTCTTGTTGACATTTAGTTTGAATTATATGTGTGTTTTGAATGAGAGAGAATAAGTGTCTGGTTTTTGTTGTCTTAACATATCAAACCTTCCAAATATTTGTTGAATTTAATCAAATATTCATGAATTTTATAACACACATATATATAAATGGCGCAGTGGTCAATCACAACAGGCGAAGAGGCTGGGTTCATCAATTTATTTGTCGACCGGTTTCGCCCCTTATTGGGGCTTCATCAGGACAACCTAATATCAAATTTCGACACCTAACGTACATAAAATGAGGAGACATAATCAATTGTTCACTTATGACGTATGTCCAAGCGACATAACTCCATAACGGTTACATACATATAATGTTATAACGTTATCAGTAAGTAGAATGTACATATTACATTTACGTAATTAGATTTATGATGACAATGAGTTAAATATTCAGTATCTAAAAAATTAACTGAGTCTGTGTTGTATGTGTATCCAGCAGAATACAAAACATCAATTCTGTTCATCTAAACATTCTGTGCATTTGGATTCAGATTTGCAAACATATCCCAACTGTTTATAGTCCACCAGTGTGTTACCACTGGGTTCCAAAATATCCTGTAGAGAGGTGTTGCTGGCTGAGCTATCACTAAGGGCTAGATCCTCACGTAGGGTCTCCTCATAGATAGTCGGCATTACGGGTTCTGAAGGTATAGTCCTAATTGCTTCTTTGTTTGCTGGTACAATCCAGAATTTGGCTTTCTCCAGTTGTTTCTTCGTTAAAACTTCAAATGGTCTTTTGACCGTTGGTCTTTCAGCTTGCTCCTTGACCTTCTCATTCATGCACTCCGGTCCTATGGTATATCCCGGGTGAGTGGTTTACATGTGCCTAACATAGTTGTCCTCTCTACCGTATGTACGTTTACTGATTTTGCATCTGTACCAAGTTGCCACGTTAGCGTGTACAGTATTCATATGTCTCTTGACGCTTTTTAAGCTGGCGTATTTCTTCCCACAAGTAATACATGGTATTCTTGGTCTTGATGCTGTGTGTATCTGTGTTTTCTTCGTATTGACCATTTTATGTGACTATATTGAGACCATCTGGTCTCTGAGTTCTGAGTATATGGATTAAACCTTCTTCCTGTCTGAGACGGCGGTTAATATCACATATATATATATATTCGAAATATTTTGCTTATTTAACTTTAAAAAGATGGATGTGTAAACACGAATTTACTTAAGAAAACAAATATTTTTTAACTGTTGCATATGTAAAAGGAGTGGTTTCAGGTTTTTGTCTCTTGAATCCACAAGAGTCTTATAATTTTGTGGAAAGTGAAGCATGGCAACTGAAGAGAAATTCACCTTTATGTCTGAAAATACTGTTTTTAACTCTACATTTTAACTCTATATTCTACCATATACATCCAACTGTAATTCAAACTATGAGATAAATTTACACTAAGTCCCTACATAACTCTGCATATTTACAATCATACTTCAACACTACTGTAAGGCCTAGAAAGTAAAGAGAAAGAAAATGAGCCAACCAGTCTTGTCAACACTTTTCCACTGACAACCAATCTTTAGAAAACTACCAGCTTTTCTAGCCAAAATTCTGCAAACTGCACATGCAGAATTCTCACTGAATATGAGACATTAGCGACAGGTATATAAACAACCAAGGTGTTCCAATTGCTGTATCTAATCTACTCTGAAGTAGACAGGTAAACAGTATGTCGGACATGGCGTGGTAAGCTGTCAGATGTGATACAGACTGCTAGACATAGAAATTTCCTCGACTTTTGCACACATTTATACATACAGCAATGGAGCTGGACTGGGTCAGTCATGGATGACCATGTAGCTCAGTTGGTAGTGTCTGTCTTGTTTCAGAGGGTCCTGGGTTCCCACTCCTAACCACATCTTAAAGATACAAGAAACTCTATTTCACATTCAGTTCCAGCATTAAATGTTTTGCCAACATATATCAAATTCATTATGTGAATTATGTGTATTTTCAGAATGTCACAGGCCTCAGAAGAAAATCTGGAAGTCTTCAGGGCAGAGAAAAATGAAGCTTTTGTACTTGGCTATACAGGAGAAGTGGGCAAAGAGCTGATACGGGACATGGCTTTATTGAAGGCATTCTCAAAAGTCTACCTTATTGGCAGGAGATTTGTCAAACTTCCTGACCACCTTGGTCCTGAATTTGTAAGTTTCAGGGATGTTTGTAATGTGTTTTATATTTGTTAGAAGATTAAATTAATTTTTACCAACTGTTCAGAATATGTATTGCTCTTTGGCATTTTTGATGGGATTATACTTTCCTTTCATAATGTCTTAACAGTTTTTTTTAACTTGATTGTAGCAAAATATCTTTTTTTTCAATTTTAGGACAGTGTTTATATTCCAGACATTCAAATCTGTCAAAATGCACGTTATAATGGTACATGATAAGATGTGCCTGGCATCTAATGTTTGATGCTTTACGTGAAAAACTAAAATTTCTTTTGACTTTTCTACTTTCAGGAACAAGTGATTGTAGACTTTGATGATTTAGATTCCTATTCAGACGTGTTTCGTGATGTGAAATATGGATTCTGCTGTTTGGGCACAACAAGAGCTAAATCTGGAAAGGTAATACATATATATATATATGATAGATAAATATACTGTAAAAGTTGTTCTTTTTGATGGGCTTTATTTTCCCCATTTTTGAGGTTGCAATGAAATTATAAATATTGAAAATTAATCTAAAGGGAAAACTATTAGTCTTTTTAACAATTTCTGTGGAAAATTATAATCTGTCCATGCGTGACATTTTTGGTAACATTTTGAAAATTTGGACCATGGTAAAAACTACCTCTGCAGTATAATATTAAGATATATACTGCAATATATGCATCTCTCTACAACACATAATCTGGAGTTTTCTTACTGACTATCAGCGATTTTATTTATTCTCGTTTGGGGTCAATAATGCTGGTTTTTTTCTGATGAAGTGATCCTTGAATGGTTAATAGTGATATTTTCTGGATTTATGCTTTGATGATGTGCAATTTCTACCTTGAAGAAGATTAAACATTGAATTGTTTTGTAATAGCTATGATTGGCATTCACTTTACCAAAGATAAGTTAGAATCAGGAAAAACCACTTAATGCATAACACTGAAATTAAATATAAGCACTAAAAAAGAAATGAATATTGATAAAATAGTATAAAAAAAACAAATAATTGTAAAATTGGTTACATTTTTAGTCATGAGAATTTCGGACAAAATAAAAGGCTGTAGCAATTCAACTCATGATCTGTTTTTATATTAACAAGTGGTTTTGTTTACTTTAGACAGGTTTTGTGAAGGTCGACCATGATTATGTTTTAAAAGCTGCAGAACTTGCCAAGGCATCAGGATGCAAACATTATTCAGTGTTGTCCTCTCAGGGGGCGGATAAAAACAGTTCCCTTCTCTATCCAAGAACTAAGGTTTGTATACTGTGATAGGAACGTGATGGAGACTGCTTCCTCAATGTCAAAGGTCGCATAAATTCACATGTCACACATCACATTACTCTGAAATTCTCGTACCACATTACCCTTAAGGTCATAAATAATTTGTTTGTGAATCTTCTGAGAAAGTCTAACTGATAAATAAAAGATTCGTTTGGATTTTTCTTTTTATGCCCAAGCCGTTTCTTGAATGAAGGTATTCTGACATAATTTTTTTTTCGCTCTGTCACTCTTTTATTAGATAAAGAATCACTATTTGGTATGTAGTACTGTAATGATCAAATGCAGGTGAAGTTTTTATTTTGTTATTGTCAATTTATTTTACCACAATAATGGCAATTTATTTTCCAAGAACTGTAATGAAAATTTTCACAAAATTTGTAACATCAGAACTTGAGAGCCTTGCATAAAACTACTGCAGGTTTTTTTTAGAACTCAACAAAGCTAATAACACTGAAAAATACCAAAATTTCTCCATGGTTGCCTGCAATAACATTCAGTAATGAAAATGGTTCTGTTATTTTTTTTATTTCTTTTTTTTTATTTTTCATTTTTGGAATTTTGTATTAGTCTTATTTCAGGTATGCCTTTTAATTTTATACTGTTTTTCTTACCAGGGCCAGGTTGAGGAAGCATTAAAAGTGATTCATTTTCGTCAGCTGTCGATTTTCCGACCAGGGTAAGTAGTACTAAGCACTAACCTGTAATGCTGGGAACGTGTATGGTTGATTTTTTTTATTATAGTTTTACATAAGTTGGATGGTATCATTATTGAGTCTATCAAGGCTGAAATCACATATTTATACTTTCCACATGTAACTGCAAAAATAGATAAATTGATAAATAGATAAATTAAAAATAGATATATATATAAAACAATGTAAGAAAAAGAGGAGAGAAACGTTCAGAATGAAAAAGCGTGTATGGAGATACAATCTGTATTTATCTCAGAACATTTTCTTCAGGTTGGTAATATATTGAATATGTGTTCGTTATATAACAACCAGTTATAACCAACAGTCTGTGTTGTAGTTTTCCATGTTAGAAAGATTGAGGCTTTGCATTTGCTTATTTAATGATATTCAGTCATAGAAAACAACTATAAGAAGGTAACATGGTTGGTGTTATGAGTTAAATAGATAGTTTATAGATTATAAGGACTTTTCCCTAACCACTGAGAAGGGACGTTCATGTACATATATATAGATATGTACTGACTTCTAAAACTTCTTATTGTGTTGGGAAACAATGTTTTATTATGATTTTTCATTCAGCTAACATTCTGTAAGAGTTATTAAGAGATAGTTTATATAAAGTATTGTTTCTGTTTGATTTTCATGATTTTTAATGTCTTAAACAATATACATGTACATGCACTTTTTATTGTACTTTTCCATCCATAATTGCCATGACAATTTTTTGACAAATATTTTGAAATTCATTGAAGTACATTTCATTGTTGGTTGCTTATATAATTTTTATTTGATTACTTTGAATTCTTTTCATAACAGTTTTAAAGTTCATCAATAGTGTATATGGGTAATTAAAAGATCTTTAATTGGTAGAAATTGAGAATATTTTTTACAGAGGAAAATAATTCTTAGAGAGGTCATTCTGATCAACTTAATTTTGTATTTTGATTTTTTTAAAAAAAAAAATCATACTTTTTTAAAATTTTAGAAATTAAGTCCCCATCTTGACCCTCCTAGCTATTTTAAGGAGGCCAAAAAAAATTTTAAAAAATAAATAAATAAACTAACAGATTTATCTATAATCATTGACAAAGAATTTATTTTCAAGAAGTAACAACTTTCCTAATTTTCTCATGAAGTTATTATATAAAATCAAGTCAAAATGATTTGGTAAATGTTTCAGTATTTATACATCTTTATAATATGTTCGACCCAGATGTTGGACGCTGATAAGATGTTTTAAGTCCAATAATTGATAGATGGAATCTTAAAGTTTATTTAAATGTATTCTGCTCTTGCATTGTGAGTAGCAATGTTGTATATTATATCTAATTGGGAAAATCAAAAGATCAAATTAAGGTAAAATTTTTCATAATTCCAGGTTGATACTCTGCAACCGACAAGAAAGCCGCCCAAGTGAGACGTTCTTTAAGACAGTACTCAAACCCATGTCCTATTTCTTTCCGACTGCTGTCACAACACCTGTGCAGGTACTCGCCCGTGCGATGATTAATGATGCCATCCATCCCATTCGCCATGACCCTGTTTTGTTATACGAAAATAGAGCCATCCATTTCCTATCTGGTATTTCAAAACAATGCAGTTGAAAAATGGAAAATTAATTGATATCTGTTAATCAGGAAATATTTTGTTTATTTTAAAGCAAAATTCCAAATAATTCAATACCACTTTATTATCCTGAAAAACTGCTGTTTTTGTATAAAATTGCTGTTCAGATAATTTAATTTGTGTTCAAGAAAATATTCATTTCAAAAGAAAAGATTTGCTTTTAGATAGTTACCAACATATTATTATATGCTCTCCCCTCTTGTTTGTTGGAAGTGAAGTTGTTGTCAGTATGATTTTGGTTTTTAATAACTTTTTTGTTTGTATAAAACAGATTTGCAAACTGAATTTACAGTCATTGCAAGACTTGTTACCATAGAACGCTTTTTGAATACATAAAGTGATAATTAACTTTATAAATATAACAAAGTTATTCACCAAAAATAAATTCCAAAAAATAGCTTCACCAGATTTACCAGATGATTAAAAAAAAAAAAAAAAAATGGGAATTTATGTCCCACCATTTTTATGTTACAGCATATAGTGTTCATGTGTTATGTCACCGGGCGTTTGAATTAACTTTGACAAGAAGTTAAACAATAACAAAAGCAGGATTATCTCCCTTTTTTGTGCATACCATGTATGGGCTAACCATGATGCGCAATCTTCCCTTGTAGTGCACAAATAATAACCATCAGTCGTGAAATGATTTAAGTATTTTTTTGCAATCTTTAATTCAAATGAGTAGAACCTGATCATAGGTTTTGTATTACGTAAAGAATATGTGAAAAATATGTGATATCTGCAGTTGTTTTTCGATATGTCAGGGTATGCAAAATACTGTTTTGGTGAAGCTATGTTTTTTTTTTAAATATTTGTTTGAGCCCCTAAATGCATTAGAATGTAAGAATTCAAGATGTTTATTATACAGGTTGTATTATTTCTAGATAGTGACTTAGTTTTTCTTTCTCTTTGTGATATAGCCTGCTGAGTATGATATGAAGTGCATGTTAATTCTGTTTAAAATTGTACCTGTGATTTAGCTGTTGTGAATACAGTAATGATATGCTGTTATATTACAAAATTATGTTTACATCTTAATATGGTATTATTGATTTTTATATATAAACACATCTACAAATTAAATAAATATGACAGTTTTATTTGGTTAAAAAATTGGTATTCAAAACTTTTTTTTATATGTAATTCTAATACATGTTTATATGTATATAGTATTTCTATGTTGGGCGAAACTACATTACCATATAGAAGCATTCAGATTTGTAACAAATTTGTAAAAGATATTGAAGTTTCTGAAGATGTTTAGTAGCATTAAACATTCATAGTTGGTAAAGTTTTCATCCACAACATTAGATTTACTGTGTTGTTACAAACAATTGCCAACGATTCATGCTACATTTGCTTGTTATTGGTGGAACATTTTTCACTATCATTTAAATCCTATTTAATTTAATATGTTATCAGTATTTATGTGTCACACAAAAAGCTATGTTCTTATAATGCAAAGACCAATATTTTCAAATTAAAAAGACCGAGGGGGATTGGGGTTGCTGGGATAATGTACTTAAGATTTTAACAACTGGTGTTTCATTCACTTAATTGTTTGATCAATTTATGAATATGAAAACTCAAAAACAGATTATAACATTGATGGTTTGAATAGTTTTATGTGCCCATCATTAATTATTAAGCTATTCCTTAATCTTTGTTTTAATGAATATATTTCCAAAGAATGCATACAAAGTAATATGTAAATGAATTGTAAATTAAGTAATTGTTAGAGACTCTGTGTGTCTTTACTGAAATTTAATGGAAGTGGAGTTATTTCTTTCGCAAGAATTGATGACCAAATAATGTTAGTAATTAATTCCTGTACATGGATTGAAACATTGTATGTAATTATTTAGTTACAATCTTTAGTTGGTGTATTATCAAACACAGGAGTTATTTATGATGCTGAAGTGGGAGATATTATTAATCTCTAACCGCTTGGAGAAAAATGAATAAAATTGTATACACAATGCTTGTCAATTTGATAACCTTCTTGATCAGGGTTGAGGTTCCCGTATCACACTCTCAAGAGGGTGAAATATTCTTTTAGATCCCATGTTTAATGCTCTAGGTCACTTGTGTGATCCTACAGGTCACACATGACCAAGTGGATGCCAGTTGTGATTTCTTGAAGGTTGTTTTTGACACTGTAAGTCGCACTTGAATGTAGCATTGTTTTTCATAATTTGTCCATGTATATAAGGTTTCCTACAGTAAGAAGAGTGATTACTCTGTACTATATGTACCATATGTATGCATTCATTTGTATTATATTGCTCATATTCATTAAAACATAAATGTTTATGTCGTCTAATGTCTATCTAGAAGAGATTTTATTCCATGAATTAAAATTGGCCATAAAAAAAACTACTTTAAGTATAAATTGAATTTTGTCAGGAGTTCATCAGAAAAGACTCCAGGATGGACTTGTAAAAGGTTATGATGTGTTTACCTGTTTAGTAACTTGTTGATGTGTTTTGGTGTGGGGATGTCTCTACCTCTGTTATGAACCTGTGATTTTAATCAAGAAATGATACGGAGACAGAATACGGAACATTTGTAAAAAGATTGGAGTCTGCTGGCTATATTAATGCTTCAAGATCTACTTTTTGATATACGCAGTGTAATTTTAATCTTGCTTTATGCTTATTTTCACTAGATAGTGTTCAACTGAATCATAGGGACATGGCACAAATTGCTATCACACGGTTCATACAAATATATCATACTACAATTGATAAATATTAAATGTCAGCTGGGAATATGAGCCAAATGCCTGTGAATCAAATTATATGTGTTACCATTCGAATACTTTTGCTTGCCAACATGAACAATAAGCATCCTCGGATCTGTCAGAAGAGCCCACTAAACCCCAGTGTGGGATCTGAGAGCTCATCACACTTAATATGTCAGAATCAGGTAATTCTGACTTTATATTCCAACTTCCCTCTGTGAACAAAATGGAAAACCAATCGAAAAAATGGTCCTGATGAAGACCTAGTGATTGGTTCAAAACTAGTAGACGATTAAAAATATTACCAGAACACGCTTGAATATGTTGAGGTTAACTTACCTTGCATGTAAGTATTTATAAGTATTAATCATTTAACATTTTAGTTAATTTAGTGTTATCAGATTAATTATCATGCAAATAGCTGTCATTGTGTTTTGCCATTTTTCTATATTAAGCCACACTGATGACCTTGTTTATGTACATTGTTTGATGTATATATAGGTTCTTAAAATGATTTTCCATTCAATACATGAATCTATGAAATGTGTCAAAGACTTTTTAATCTTAGCGAGCCTATGGCAGGGAAAATAAAAATTTGTGATGAGTTTTAAAATGAAGCATCCAATAGAAACAAATTTAAAACCCATTTTATCACATGAATAAATTATTGAAGCAAATAGGGTAGAAAACGGACATTTCTAAGTAAAACCTTAAAAAAATACTGCTTTTGCATTATGTTTTTGTACTGCTCCCCTTGAACTCCTGCTGTGTATAAAAACTAATTAATGTTTCCAAAAAAGTGATAGGTAGGATATCACAGTGATTTTTTTTAAAACAGTGGGTTAAATGGAATTTAATGTAAACCAACATTGCAATAACAGAAAAGCAAAATCTAATTCAAAATGAATTTCTAATTTTGATATTTTTTTTTCTTTTTAAAAGTTCAACTGAGATTACTGCATTTCTCTTGTGAGAGAAGTTTGGAAAATATTCCATTCCTCCATTTGTTTGAGAAACCTACATTCCTTTGTCAGATATGTTTTTTGTGTTAGATTTATTATTTTCCTTCTGTTAATTTGATTTGTTGTTAATTTAACAAAAACCATTCTCAAATATAACCTAAACTTTATTCCACTAACTGTCACAAGTTTTTGTACTTCAATATTTATCTGTTTATTTATTGTGTGAACCACTGCTTTAATTCTGAGTTTTGCTGCTTATGAAAAATTACCAGAGATGTTTGCTACAGAGAAATATCCCAAAAACCGGACATGCTTTTTTTTCAAAATTGTGTTTGGTATTAATTTAAACTAATGTTAGAAAGAGATGTATAGTCTCCCATTCAAAAAACAAATCGCTTGAAAAAAGTTCCAGATTTTTCTTAAAAAGTGAAGATGCTTATTTGCAATGGAATTATGACTAAGTTTCTTCAGTCCTATACAAGTGATTAGGTGATGAAATAACGGGCCAGATGCACTGTAATATTGTGCTGTGAATCTACAAACGTCCAAAGCTTCGAGTAATCATTTCATTATTAAGTATAAGACTAAAATTGGAAAATACCTATATGTGTTTACATTGTCGTCTGCTTTCCTTGTTTTTTGTGTCACTGTCTTAATGTTTTACAATTGTTTATGTATTGCTGATTAAAAACGTTTACCTTTTAATTTTGTTGCTATTGATTACTGTTGTGATTATACATATTTACCTAGAAAGGGCTACACAAGCGCAGTTGGTAGAGCGTTGATTCTCCGTTCTGTTCTCCCAGAGTTACTGTCCTTTGTTTCACTCTGATGGTATAGCGATAACCTTGACAACTGATAGGGGTTGACAATGGTATTTCTCTGGATGCTGAGAAACGAACCGTTCTCTGCTGAAGAGGTTGTGTCCATTTAGAAGACACTTTACTGTGATTACTCTTGATGGCATTGACTAACCTCCCGTCTGATTTTCACTGAAATAGACACCAGCTACTACTAGTAGAGCCTATATCAAAATGACCGGTCATGGGACATTAAATATATCAAGGTAATACTGTGATTTGAAATGTCAGACAATCCGATGGTAACCAAGCACTAAATATAGTTTTCTGAAATTGACAACCCGATATAATTATATTGGCATAGAAAGCCACAAAAAATAATGTTAGAAAAGTTCAAAAGTTGACGGAAAATCCTATGTACGATAGTTCAAAAGACAGACGATGATAGCTAATTAGAAAAATATTGAAAGATAATTCCAACCTGTAAAAGATATAAAAAAAAAAGAAATTATTAGACGAAATGTGGAAAACTTCATCTCCTCGAAAAATTTTAAGGGAATGAAGACATCTGCTGGGACATGATCGACAACACCCGCCTTTTAAATCTACTTTAATCCAAGTGATCGGCACAGTGAGTACGGAACCAATTAACATGTTAGCGCCAAACCTACAATGCATTTGACATGAATTCCATACCCACGATCTATGGGGGTGGGCTTAATACCGGACATCCCCCCTGTGCATGGGAGTTGGCAGAAAGGGGGAGTGGGCTTATTACCGAGCATGGGCTTATTGCCGGAGAAATACGGTAATATATATAGACCGTGGTCTTGGGTACTCGTCGACCAAAGGGATATGATCTTTCACGGTAAATATTCTCAAAAGTCGTCATGAAATTTCGTCAGGAACTTCTCTACTGAGGTCCCTTTGTTTATAGGTAGGGTTTTAAAGTTCAAATGGATTATTAGCGGAAACTATAAACATCCCAGACATTGTTGTATATCCCTATCTCGGAATATGTTTAGCTCTGGACTTCTTAAGTTGTGTTGATAGCGCATTTAATCTCAAATTGTGCAGATACCAATTTGAAAACAAATTAACAAAAAGTAATTAAGTGAAGTAAAAGTGATCTTTATTATTAAAGTCGTAACAAGTAACAGAGTGAGATCACAGGGACCTGAATATCTATAACAATCAAGATGTGTAAGAATATGTCCTAGTCCGCGGGTTTTCATCTGATCATTTTCATTAATATGAAGTATTTCATAAAAACGACGCATGTCTACACCTAATGTCTACATAAAGTGTTTGACCACTGACTTTCAAACAGAACATAAGGTACTATGTAGCACAGGGATTTGCCACGTCCCTTTGGAACGAATGTCCGATTCAAATGCATGACAGAAGGAAATATTGAACTACATGTACGTCAAATATTTCTCTATTGCGTGTCGCGCAAATCTAAATAGAATTTCTTATATTACTTTTGTGATGTTGACCTACATTTCCTAATAGATACAAACATGTACTTGAAAAAAACTCATGTGGAACTCACACCCATCACTTTCTGTTTGCACGTGACTACTAAGTATCCTACATACTCAAGTATCTGAGTTAGTGTCGTCGTGTATGTTTAATCTAACGTTATCTTTAAAAGTTCACATTTGTAGAAATTAGTCTATCCCCAAATTTGGTTTTACAATTTAATTCAGTCTATCCCCAAGTTTGGTTTTACTACTTCTGATACACAAATTAGCAGACGAAATATTTTCAAGTGCTCAGCACGCGCTGTTACTTATATATTGCTAAGAAGTAAGTAGATAATCGTTGTTTTTACAACCCCTCCTCCCACTCAGAATTTGTAACTAACGTTGCCATTCTGGGAACCCATGACCCGTATATGTACAGATAAGCACACTATATTCTCTGGACACCTGGAAGATGCCATGGCAAAGTCTAAGGTTCTAGCTATTTGCATAGAAATTAAAACACTTGCAAGGCTGATACCAACACTGGTGAATGAATAAAAGAGTAGCTACGCTTAAGCAAGACTAGCCAAGTCCAACAATTTGCTGAATTTTTTGTTCTTGATTTTTTTTTTTTTTTTTTCGTTTTTTCTTTATTAACGGGAACAAATATAGGATATCAACTGACATTTTCAGAAAGACTGTACAAATAGATTCAATATCATAACAACATAGAAGAATCCGCGGGTTTTGTGCTATTTCGTCTTCATTTTAGAAATACCAGAAACTGAAATACTCTCACCCTATATTAGACACAACCATCTCAGATCGTTGAACATGAACGTCATCTGTGAAGGATATAGTACAATTATGTGTAATAGACAATGACAATATCCGAAAAAAATCTAAATGAAAAAAAAGATGGTTAAGTTATGATGACTGGGTTAAAGTTAAGAGAGATAACCTTTCATTTGACAAACCATACCATTAGATGTAATGTATAGAACGAGCGTAAAGACGGCTGGTACGGCGTTAACAACAATATCTCGCTTGTCTGAAGAAACAGAAAATCGATATTTTACTATTTTGTTATCATGCCTCTTTGTACGCTTCGAGTTACATGCTGCTTGAAGGAGCATCGGAGATAATTGTTTGATAAATTTCAAAGTCAATAAGTTATAAAAGAAAGAACGAAATAAAGATAGCTCTACACTTAATAAATACTTCCGATTTGTGCGTTACCCGCTGTGAATCGTGTACAGTTACAGATCGTAAGAATCGGTGATGAAGATTCAAGTAAATATCGAATGGAATTTTACAATTAAATTGCACACAGCGACTTGGCACGGATTTTCGACTTACGGTTCATAGATATGTAGGTTATAACACACACACACACACACACATCACCACCACCATACACACACACACACACACCTACACACACCCTCACACACACACCTACACACACCCTCACACACACACACGCACACACATACACACATACACCCTCACACACACACATACACACACACACACACAGTGTGAACAGTGGTTGAGAATTCGTGCGTAGTCGCTGTTGTTGAACACGATGGGTATCATGGTACACAGGTATGTCTAACAGCGTCACCTCTTGTTCACATGTCGGTCCTGCATTCTACTCGAGCTATTTACACCTATCTGTATCTACATATCAATCACATAAAATTTTAGGAATGTACCAATCACAGGTACCTCTAGACACACACCGGCTTGTAAAACCACACGTGGACATATATACATGTAAATTGGCACTACACACATTGACATACATATCCTGCCACACACGTCTTCGCTTTAAGTTACACTCGTACAAATGCATGAAGTCGACCACTCGCACACACGTCCAGATAATCGTGCACTACACAATTGATTTCACATTCTAAAAACCTGAGTTCACACATGTGCACATAAAATGCCGTAAAACTAATACACGTGTTCGATCTCATATATAACAGCATAGATCACTATAGAACATTCATTTCCGTTGACTTTACATAATGGCGGAACTTTATTTTTAAAATTCAACTCATTTTCTAAATAAACCGCTTCATTTATCCTCTTAACTTCCACAAAGAAAACATGATCGTAAACTTCTTATATACAAATGACACAATAAAACACATGGTAATACTAGCAAAGTAAACCTGGAAGCTGTTTGGCACAAACATATAAACGAAATCGATTAGACAGGGCAGCAATGGTGACAAGTTGATTCCGTTGCCGAGAACGGATTTATTTTGTTGAGTTCGAATTCAGTGATAGCATAATTTTAGTTAAATACTTCTAATACACTGCCTTCTCCATCCTGTTATATTAGTGCCAAATAAACTTCTAATGGCTAAATGCTTACTACCAATATTTGAATGGAATTTACGTCGAAGTAAGTTTTAATTTGTACATATAATGATAAATTAATGGGCGTTTGACAAAAATGACTAGAGGTAATACAACATAAACAAATTCTGATGATATCATAGCTTATGTATAAATAATTTGTTTTTCGTGAAATGATATAGTATAATTAGAGTAACAGTGAGGGATTCTCAATCATGTCACGAAAACTCACATGTCGTGTCGTGTGTGTGTTGACACGTCCTAATTACGTGATGTATTGACACGTCCTAATTACGTGTTGTGTTGTTACGTCCTAATTACGTGATGTGTTGACACGTCCTAATTACGTGTTGTATTGACACGTCCTGATTACGTGTTGTCTTGATACGTCCTAATTACGTGATGTGTTGACACGTCCTAATTACGTGTTGTATTGACACGTCCTAATTACGTGAGGTGTTGACACGTTCGGTGTTGACACGTCCTAATTACGTGTTGTATTGACACGTCCTAATTACGTGAAATGTTGACACATCAGAACTTTTGAAAATGTTTTTAATTCTATTTTAAACATTATATACTAATTCAAATTTTATTTTCTAGACAAGTAAATATAACTATCACGATACATCCAGAGATCGTAATTATTGCGAAAAAAAAGAGCACTTCTCAGCTAAAGTGATTTGCCCTATATATTAGGAATGTTTTAAATATGTGCCAGCAAAAAATCAACATTACAATAAATACAAAGAAACCAAATATCTCTGATTTAACTAAAATGTCATATGGTATGATTGTAATTGACTGGTTTTATTTGTTTATATACCAGCAATTCCAATAAAATTCTATCACAAACGTTAGTGTATATCAGTTTAGTTAAATTTGCAAATAAATGCTGTTAAAAACACACCTTAAATATCAAACACTAAAGGACCAAGGAAATTTCTGAAGATCAAAAGTACCTATTTTAATAATGCATCTACGCTTTTCTACTAGATTATCTCCCCTTTATTTGAAACCTACCATCAGAATATATCTGTAAAGCCATTTTTGTCGGTTTAATTCTTCTTTTTATATTCAAGATTCTAGAAATTAAAGTCAGTCTTATATATAAATTGATGACTCATGGTTACTAAAGAGTAAAATGATACTGGTATATTGAACAATCTAGTGGTCTCATCCCTAATTAGTCTCTTGGGTCTACTTCCCCGAAATGCTGGTGAATGTAAAATCATTCACATCAACTCTTTTCGACAACATAATTTTCCCTGAAAAAAGTGCGATATGTAACTGTTTATAAAAAAAATGAACCAATACTTTCGTGCAAACATGTGCTAGACTGTAAAAGTTTTATATAGCACGAGAAAACACGGACTTGATCATGATTTCCAGGGACATTTTTTATGATTTATGTCCGTTTCTGTACAGTTGTTTTGTCACGCGAGGACCAAATGTGTGACCTCTGATTGGCGGCTTTATGATGAATGCCAGACGCAAGGGGAGATAAAATTAAGATCTTCGATAGGGGACCTAACATAATAACTGTCAATATTAGTGAATATATCATATTGTAGAACCATGATCCAAAACACTTTAAAGACGAAATTCTCTCTCCACCGAGGCACGTATCAAGAACCTACCCTCGCTTTTTTAGAGTTTTTTCCGAGATTCACGTTAAGGCCACCATGTATTGCTCAATTACTTCATCATGCACATTTTTTCTTTCAGCGGTGCGTGATTTCTGGTTCTACCTCAGAGATGAATCGAGGGATTCTTCTTTTCATAACAATCATTTCTAGTGAACGATGCAAATACTTGTAGTGACAACAACACATTCATTTCTATATATAAAAAGGCCGTCAGGATGAAATAAGTAATTATTCATCCCCTTGTTGACGTGTTAGGGGGATCTCAACCCTCGGAATAAGATTATTAATGTCACACACTCAGCAAAACTCGTGTTTGCCAAATGAATACTCTTCCCTCTCTGGTTAAGATCCCCCTAATGTCACCCCAAAGAGTAAAAGATTGTCTCATTCCCCGATGTATAAATGTCGGTAAGTCGATCCTCTTCACGTTTTTCTTGGATTAGCTCATTACAGAATGCGCTGAAAAGACCACAGCTGTGCAGTAACAGTATTATCAGGAGTTCTTGTGAACCTTTATCCTTATTAAAACTTCTATGCGCATTATTGATGGTCGATAATTTGAATATGATACAGATTAGTATTTACGTTTATGTCATTCAGACATTTTTTTCTAAGCAGACGCTGAGTCATGCTATGTGGTGTTTAACATCCTGAATGGCAGCTGTTACCGTCCAATGTGTTACCTTAGGTAGCTATCATACAGTGTCTGCCTTTTGTGATGACGGAATTTATATTCTAAATCTCCGTCTATGAGGTACAGAAACGCGTCCATCGTCGGGTATTCACACCAAAGCACACCAGAATTCAGGGACAGTATCACTTTTTCAAATTCTACTGTGACGTCACTTCTATTGTTGACGCGTAACGACGTCATCGTCATACGGAGTCAACGAAAGTAAGAGAAGTTATCACATAAACAAGTGTCATCAAGCAACAGCTCAATGGGATACATAACACTCTCGTTGCAAGGAAGGCGAACTATTCATTACTTGTGTATCTTTTGTATTGTTCGTTGTCAGAACTTCAGCAATGTCACTTAAGCTCAAATTGTCACATACAATGTAGAAGTACAACTTATGTTGTTATTAACGTCACTTGCGATGAAAAGTCACATCTGTCGTTGTTACACCCATAGAGAACGTCTTCAGGTGTCCATGACGCATAACATCCTTCACCACTCATTGTTTGCACGACTCTCGTTGCCATACAGGACGTGAAATGCTTGTCACACTTCCAAATTTAAGGGTATTGTTATACTGATTTGATAATAGATTAAAAATCCTTCTTGTAATGAAATAGAAAGCATTACTACAGATTCTTAATGCCGATTAGTCAATCATTTCAGCTGTTTCCCTTCCACCGACTCATTTCTGTCATCACTTCGAGATATTCCACAAATGATAACAAGAATCTCCTCTGTATCTCCATTTCAGCACCACCAACTTTTTCCAATGTCGATCCCGTGTGCTTGGTGCATATTCATGCTCCCACTACGGGTTGTTTCTTGTAGAGGTGTCGGTTTGTGTTTTTAAGAAAGCTGTCCTGACGTGGCTGTGACCTTAGACAAATCACTTAATCTTAATTTCTCCAGATGAGATGTTTTTCTATGTGATTCGATTCATCAATTGTCTCCATGTTTAAAGGGGACGGTTTTGCATTTAACATTGGTTGTCATACATAAATATTCTTTCATACACACACACACACCATTTAAAACAATGCGTTTTCTTTCATCTGAGATGGCACATCTCTGATACTCATTCACTCGCAATTTTTCGAAGAAAACTTTCCTGCCTAAGTTATTTTAGCAATCTTAGGTAAACAGTTAAAGAATTTGACGACCCAGTGAATGAGGAAGTTCCACATAGACCGGGCTATGCTCACACGGTTAATAAGAACCCGCCATACGATGATGATGAAGAGTGTATTCGTAGCGAAACTCAAGCGCTGCAACCTGTAATAGATCGAAATAAACCAGGATAATTTCAACTCCTAAAATGTTATTAAGGAAATTTATTTGAGTACATATAAGTATCTAAGTAACTTAATTCACACACACACACACACACACACACACACACACACACACACACACACATTACCGTTCTATTATGACTTATCGATTACTGTTATATTGTCAGAAGTGAAACTTGAAAAATAACAAAACAAATCAAGGAATACGCTATTTTGTTCTCCACATAGGGCAGATATGAAGACAACGCCACTAGGTAGTTAAGGGAAACCAGCATACTGAGTATTGCTGAATCAATACATATACCCTACAGCACAAACAAACTTTTACACTGTGCTGATTTATAAATTCTCTAAAATAGTAGCAGCAGCTTTACCTAGACCCAACAAATTCGACCTTATCAAAGATAAATTTATAAATGTGTGAAGTTCGATAAAAGTTTCAGAAAGATTTTCTAAAAAAAATAATAGTAACAGTGGCCTAAACCTTGGTCCAAAAACCTTAAATATATCCGAAATACGTTGATGTTTAACATGTATTTAACGACAATTTTTCCAAATACGCAGGGAGGGACATACAGGAAAACTATAGCCCCCTCTCCGCCTCCAATTTCACCGGTAAGGTACAAATTTTTTTGTGGTGTTAGACCCCAGTGCTTTACCGTTTCAGTGTTGTCCGAGCTTTGGGTAATTCTTCCAGTTCCTCCTTCAATATATAACGCTTGATACCAAGGCAGTAAGCTTCTATGTAACTAGGCCATGATATACTCCGCGGATCAAAATTGAATGTCTGAAAGTACAGGTAAAATCGATCTAGACGTCTGAGGAATTGAAATTATTCCAAAATAACTAAAACAAGAATAATTTATTTATTTTTTTGCATATTTGTAGACACATAGATTTATTAGAAACGTAATACGTACATATACAAATGTTTTCATTATTGTAACATTTCGGCAGAAATCGATGTTCAATTAAATTAACAACACTATCTAACTGCTGATTTAATACATCGGCAAATTCACAAAAAGCTGGAGTGTGAAACATCTAGGACACTATGCCACCAATTTTGTAAATATAAGATCGATTTATATTTCAGAAGGAAAGGTTTGGTAGAGAACAACCAGATGTGGGGCGTTAGAAACAAGGATCAACTAAGAACACTTGGTTTCGTTTGTTCTTATCCTACTGTCTTACCTCCCTATCATCTGAAGACATAGCTGCCAGTAACATGTCTAAGTTGTCCGACTTAAACTCCCAGTCCTTGTTTGTGAAGTAGTCTAGAGTTGCGGTGGCTTTCCGAAGGCGATCTTCTATTTTTCGGAAGCTGACAAAACCAAATAGTGTTGAACGTACAAGCGTGTAGAAATGGTTGATTAAAATTCGTACTGTCGTTCGTGAAGAGCTCTTTTGCATAGAATATAATGCATTCCTATGCAATTACAAGCATCCGCATTCCAGACAAAACGTGCATCAATCTTAAACAAGGGAGACACAAGTCTCTTTGTCGGCCAAAAAAGGTTGAAGCTTTTCTAAATCATGATATAAAGAATTTGTCCCACAACGACGTATTGTACACAGATGCTGTGCATATTTGTAAAGAAAAGTTTTAACTTCCGGGTTCGTAAATGCACAGATAAAATTATATTTATACTCAGTGACATGTGAATTTTTGTCAGCAATTCCCAACACGATTTGAAACTATTCTGATATCACTTCGTGTTGCATTGAAACAGTATCTATAATGAATAGGGATTTCAATTAATTTCATTATATATATTGACACAGAAGATTTACACTGATACTATTGAAAAAACTACAAGACCAGAGTTACTGGAAGGGTAAGCGTTTTATGCTTCATTTTTGACATCTTTCATATTAATTTCTGACTGTCTCAGATATATTTTCTGAGGAGAATAATGTGATGGCATATCTCAAAAGGAAATGGGGTTCCTTTAAACAAGTTGGATGTATTGCTTGAATTGTCCTAAACGCATCATATTAAGAACAAAGAATGGCGTCATTTGAAGTTTTGATTTAGAGTCGTAAGAATTTTTTTTGCCAGAACTTCGCATATGCATATTACGTGTACATGTATATAACGTCATTCGACGTTAAGACTCACATAAGTTTTTTCCAGGTAATCCATATATATCACAACCTGTACAATAATGTGATGTTAAGTGACGTTTAGACTTACATGGGCTTTTTTCCGGTACACCACATATACATATCCAAGAGGTAGGATGGTAGTACTTGATTAAACAACACGTTGATGTCATGCCAAAATCTGCAAAGAGGTTCGACATTTTTGATAAAGATTTTGCATGCGTTCTTTCCAGGGTTTTTTATTTATATTATCTTCAATTCAATTGTATTGTAGATCAAGTTATTTTATGCATTGAAATGCAGTTCATCATTAAATACTGTTTATGCATGTTTTGCCATTAACTTCATATCTGTTCTATAATGTGAATTAATGTGATATTCATATATAGAAGAGATAAACGTTGACCAGTAATTTCCTTTATTGCAAACTTCTTCATCCATATATTTGACTAAATCTATTCCGAGCTAGAACACACTTCCAGAATGAAACATAAGTATTGATATTATCACGTGATGAAAATATCGTCTGATAGAAACTACATGTACCATACTCACACGCATTTGGTAAACATAACAGTGGGTACCCGAGTGACTGTATTGAACGGATTCTTCATGGAGCATCGCCTTGTGTAATCCTCTGTAACATTGTACGATCAGCCATTACTTCAACTGATTTGCAAACTTAATAAGTTATTGTTATTTCTGAAAGTCATCATTAAATCGAACCACATTTATACTTTTGTCGTTTGTCTCTCATTCTCTCTCCCTCTCTCTCTCTCTCATTCTCTCTCTCTCTCTCTCTCTCTCTCTCTCTCTCTCTCTCTCTCTCTCTCTCTCTCTCACACACACACACATACACACACACTCACCCCCTACCACATTCTTTTGAATATTCCCCTGAGAGACAAAGAGCTTCAATTATTATCATCTTTTGAAACTTCAAGTTCATGATTACTTCAACTGATTTGCAAACTTAATAAGTTATTGTTATTTCTGAAAGTCATCATTAAATCGAACCACATTTATACTTTTGTCGTTTGTTTTCACCCCCCCCCCTCTCTCTCTCTCTCTCTCTCTCCCTCTCTCTCTCTCTCTCATTCTCTCTCCCTCTCTCTCTCTCTCTCTCTCTCTCTCTCTCTCTCTCTCTCTCTCTCTCTCTCTCTCTCCCTCTCTCTCTCTCATTCTCTCTCTCTCTCTCTCTCTCTCTCTCTCTCTCTCATTCTCTCTCCCTCTCTCTCTCTCATTCTCTCTCTCTCTCTCTCTCTCTCTCTCTCTCTCTCTCTCTCTCTCTCTCTCTCTCTCTCTCTCTCTCTCTCTCTCTCTCTCTCTCTCTCTCTCTCTCACACACACACACACACTCACCCCCTACCACATTCTTTTGAATATTCCCCTGAGAGACAAAGAGCTTCAATTATTATCATCTTTTGAAACTTCAAGTTCATGATTGCATTTGAAAAAAACTGCCGTTTGATGTTCTGGTTTTACAGTTTGTTCATTTGTAATTGGACTATCTACACGAAAGAATATACGTCTTAAGTATATTTCTTAGTGCCACAAGACAGCAGAACTTGTTTCACCAGGTATATCTATCCCTGGAATACAGTTGAAGGCGAAATGTTGTAAAACTTACATACATGCTGTGTGCCGATATAGACATGGAACCCTCTGCAGAATAGGGGAGTTGCCTTAGCCAATGCGGAAGTAAAAGCGACATAGGGACTTATTATTTCGTCTCTGCTAACAAGCTGTACTTACACCGTCCTTGGTAATACCTCGTTTTTGCTCAAAGTTTTGAATATTTGCCCAGCATAGCTATTTTATGGTGTCTAATCCCGGAGACCAAATAGAAGTAATACTATTTAGTACTTATTGCTTCTAGCAAAATTTTGTAGTTTGATCAGCCATAAGACTTGACAGCCCGATGCCAATGTGATATTACAGGTTGAACTGGAGTCTCGAGCTACCATGGTTAGTATATATAATAAGACTTAACATCACTGAATTGTACTTTGAAATAGTCTTAGATTATCCAAACCGCACACGGAAACTGTTTTCATACGATCTGTGTTCTTGCCATGACGCAAAACACATATAAACAAATATTAAGTCCACGGCCTCACGGCGAAGTTCTGGAACGAAGGAACAGTTCTATGATGGCGTATCAATCAGTCTCTACTGTGTCTAATTCTAATTTGTATTGAAATGTGTGATTCAGCGTGGTTTTTTTTAAAGATCATAGGATGTATGCTCCGCTTCTTTCAGTAATGGCTCTGGTTCAGCATAAACACATGTACTTGCTGGAATTTTTGTGCAGTATCGAAAATTGATTTAGGCTATTGAACCTTCTTATTAATGATTTGACATTTCTGCCGGTCAAATGAGATCTTCCTCATTCGTCTCGATGGTTTCAACAATATTTGGGTATATTGAGTCTAATTCTAGATTACAAAATGTAATGATTTTGTATGTCTTTTGTACAATCCTTTTCATGAAATATGTTAATTTCTAGTGTGTCTGTTTTAAAATCCATATAGACTGTCGGTTAATTTTGTTATTTAACACACTCTTAAAATTTATGAGTATCAGAGCAGAGTTTGACGCCAGTGCCACCTTGCGAGGAGACGATAAAATAAAAAGCGGAAATCCCACATTCTTATAATTACAATGTACTTGTTCATCATATTTAGATATAGTGACACGTGATATATCACTTGAACTAAATTTCCGGAGAAAAACTAATGTGTTTATGCATATAAAGTGTTTGATTAATCTGTTTTCTGTGGCTTATACTCTGCACGTTCCTCTAGATTAGATAATTTTCACTGAACAAATTTAAAGAAAAGCGAATTAAAACTGTCTCAGAAATGTACATAATGTTTTCCAGCCGATGATAACGTCTAAGTATTACAAACATAAAAAAAACCATGATTCCTTTTCTGTAGTGTACTTGTAATACGTTATGCAATATACCAGACTGAATTCTTGACACAAAAAACTCATTATCTTTCACCTACCCATGTCTCCCCATGTCAAACTGTTGATAGATCCTGTCGTACAGTTGAACACCTTCATTTGCTTCGATCTGTAAAATAATTATTTTTTTCAAAATTCTGCTTCCAAAGACACTATCTTTACGCATGCATATTATATACATATATGATATATTGGTGATATGTATTTCTATTGTCAATAAAACGTCAGCAAATCAACAGCAGCTGTTACAGCGAATTTCAATTTGGGTCATAAGGTAACGTTATAACGTTGTTTTTAAAGCGTGTTGGGCTATCTAGACAAGGAGTACAGGTACACTAGGGGGTTACCTGTCTGTACCAATATACCAGGCGGTAACTTATCTGTCTGTACCAATATACCAGGCGGTTACTTACCTGTCTGTAACAATATACCAGGCGGTTACTTATCTGTCTGTACCAATATACCAGGCAGTCACTTATCTGTCTGTACCAATATACCAGGCGGTTACCTACCTGTCTGTTCAATATACCAGGTACTTACCTACCTGTCTGTACCAATACACCAGGCGGTTACCTACCTGTCTGTACCAATATACCAGCCGGATACCTACCTGTCTGTTCCAATATACCAGGCGGTAACTTACTTGTGAATAGGTGTATACCACTATACTGGGTTGCGACCTACCTGTGAGTACCTGTGTACCATGCGGCTGCTATCATCATGCTACAAGCCATATCAACAGGAATGATATCCGAAACAGCGTCACGGTCCCCGCGCATCACCCGTAGTACGCCTGTTCCTAGCTGTAAATTCAATATTCAACATACAACACGTTCGCCTGAATCAGATTATATTGAATGATCGAAAGCATGATGAGTATGGTGATAAAGAATATCTCATTGATATGATCTATATCCCATCTCACATTAATATCATTTGAGGTGGGGGTGGGGAGGGGGAGGACAGACCGGAATAATGTCAATAACTATCCATTTCTTATCTGCTGAATATCCTTCTTTTCTGTCATTTTATTAACTATTTTTATCCTGAAAAACATAACTAGCCACAACTCTCAAAACCATCTTAAGAACAATGTAATTCAGTGTGGTGATGACTTGTACACTAGAACGTCGCCATATGACAATAACCACAGAAGAAAATCTGCATTGATACTGTGTTTAGAGCCAGGAAGATATGGCAAACTTACAACCATCTATCTTGTCTTTTTACTGATAGTTGTTTACTTATTTATTGCCTTCTGTATAAATGTATATTGACTTCTTTTTCCACGCATCGATTATGTTACATCATAACAAAAATGTGATATAGAGTGAATATGGTGATAAACTACCGCTGAGGAAATCATTTTTCTATACTCCAGTTTTGATTGAAAAACCGGAAGGAAATGGGAAACATTTGCTTTTGTTTAACAAAATCAGGTTCGAGGTAACCAGCGTTTAGTTCAATTTTCCAAATATAAATTTAGAAACATTTGATTTTGTTTAACTGGCCCCAGTTGCTAAAAACTTGATTTTGAGTTTTTTTTTTTTTTTTTTTTGCGACATGTAAGTCATTGTATTTTCTTTTGCTTCTAACAACACCAATAATCTGTTCACATTTTGAAGTAAACATGTATATAAATGTTCAGTTAATAAAAACTACCCAACTCATCTCATTGAAAACAAACACAAATAGATTTTATGATCATCAACTACAGATGAAGAAGCCCCAATAAAATATATATTAATTTTCTTTGCAAAATCATCCCATAAAAACAGTGTCTCCATTGGCGTTATACAGGAAGGATATCAATCATTCTTAATATGTATGAACAGTGTACAGTTATAATGACGTGTTTATTGGGTGACTCCTGACAATGCTTGAAACGGGATATGTCATGAAGAACAGTCAAATTGCTAATACTGGCAAAATGCCGCACAACGAAATTGACATTCATGATTGACGTACTATAGGCACTAACGTGGTGTGAAAGGTATTCTGAGGAAAATCATTACTTTCGGCAAAATATGAGTGATGTGGCTGCTGTAATTAGCAGGATACAGACGATATGTGGTCAATATTAATGATCAAGTCCGCACTACGAGAACGCCAGCAGAATTGGTTATTAAAGAAGTCTAGTACAATATTTGTTTATGGGTTATAACGCGCACAAGAGGTCTTTCTATTCATTTCATTGATCTACACAAAAATTCTCTTTCTACTAAGTACTTTCCCAAAGACATTTTAAAGCAATTTGCCCGAATGATATTCTTTATTAATGAAAAAGTATTTCTTTTTCTATTTCTATAACTGTTAGTGAATTAGTTTCCGCGTGCGCTCTTCATTGATGCCAGTTTTCTTTAGATTAAAAGGTAGTTTAAATGACATTTCAATTTCGAATGCGAAAATGTTATTATAGAAGATATTGCCACAAACTGAATCGTTTGAGGCGTATTTTAAGATAGGATGCCAGCTTACCTTGTTACTTGTTATTTAATGACGTGAATATCACAGGTCTGTGTTAGCGTTAGCAGGAAAATAATTAAGAGATGTCGTAAATTTATCAATTTTCTATGTGTAGTTTTAAGGCAGAAAGTTTCAAAAATAAATAAATAGGTTAATCAATTTTACTCTCATGGTTTCGTGTCATTATTTCAGTTAATATCTGTTTTTTTTTTCAGATAAATGAACTGGTGTCATTTATAAGGCGATATATACAAAACTGGTGACCTTGAATTGCATTTTCGTAAATTTATGATAAGTTAGCACCTATAGAGAGCGAAACATTGAACTTCAAAGAAGATTTCCCATCGGGCCAAAGAGTTACAGCTCAGCGTTAAATAAGAAATACTTACCGCTGCCATGAGACCAGTGGGACCATTGTAGTTATCAACCCAACCCTAAAACAGAACAAAACAAGGATAAGTCTGCTGGAATATTCATTAATAAAGCCGACGTAAAGCCACTCATACAAACATTTTCATTGAAGACGCACTGAAGTTTGAGTTAGAAACGTTTCATGAATTTCAGGTTACGTATGAACACCTGTATTTGGAAGACGGAGCCAAACGACATAATGATCGTTCTGTCGACTTTTTCATATGATCACTCAAAAACTAGCTGAATATGATAATTTTGAAATCACTTCAAAATATAACATATTTAGACACATTGGTCACACATAATACACTTCAAAAGCAATACCAACAAAGAATTATCAAAGAAATAGAGACGAAACAAATGGAGACTCCATGTAATTCTGCTTACCGCAATAGGGTCACTCCATGTTGCGCAGACGATGGACGGACGCAATATAGCGGTAGGGATGTCTGCACATTCCTCTTTGACCAAGTATTCGGCTATAGACTTGGTGTAGGTGTAAGTGTTAGGCCGGTCACCGATCATTTTAGGGGTCAGAATTTGCAACACATCACTCTCCATCCATCTGTATGTATCAGTTCATATTCATATTGATTGAAAACAAAACAAAACAATACAGGCCCAAACTTTAGTGGTAAAAAAACCCTTGAAGTGAAAAGGATGTAACATGGTTCAGTAGTTCGTGGTTAAAAAGAGAAACAAAAAGGATAAACTAGGGTTCAACCTATCGTTGTTAAAGATATTGAAGCATAGAGGACGTACAAGTGGGTTTTTTTTCAGAAAAGTAATTTTTAAAAATAATTTTTTTCATTTCATTTTCAGAGGTCTCAATGCTTCTCGATTTCATTCTATCCTCGAAAGTAGCGAAAAACAGAACTTTACGAAAGTAACAAAATGGTACCGTTAATTCTATTAATCTTAAGACAGTAACAACATCAGTAAGATATATTATACAGCGAGGGCCTATCCCAAAGTTTATGCAAGTCTGTTCACCTTTGTGTCTTTTGTACAATCATCATAGGTTTACCTTTCAAGATGTATCTGTTTTGAATTTATACTTGTAAGCCCATAAATAGAGTAATGATTTATAAAACTTCCTTGAAAGTTTAAGTAATTCATTCATGAAATAGTTAAGCTAATCGCTTGGGAAGACTCTTTACTTGCCGAGCCCCTCCAAGGCACAATCCGCTAAAAAACTTCTGCGCCCATGACTTGGGTCTTGATTTGATTCTCGAAAGATTTATTTTGAATTATGATTTTGCAGTGAGAAAGGTTGAGTGCTTTGTATCCGTATGAAATGAAAGAAAATATGCGTTTTTGGGATATCGCCAATATGAAAATAAACCTGACTTCACATACCTCCTCGTCCACCATTTCAACGGATAACATTGTTTGATATAATGAGTTGGAATTCGAACGCATTTCCCTACTTTATACACTCTCAGAAAGTTACGCAAGAGTTCTTAGTTTTTCCCAAAACGTTTAAAGCTTGAATGAATTGCATACCTACCCCACGGCGTCAAGAAGTTTGTGTGGATGTAAGGGCGGGTCGTATATGCGTTCCTCAACAGTGCGTCTGTGACAGTTCGCGTATGCAGTGGACACGTGCAGGAAGGCCTATGTAAAATCATTAAAAAGTAAAGAGATAAATCTTCACGGTTTCTTCTACATGAAAATATGCTCCTAGTTCATAGTTCAGCCATAAAAAAACTACGCTGTATCAAGACACGAAACACTGCTGGCGGCGTTAGTAATCTACATTGGTTTGTTATGTAATTCATTCAACAGGATACAACCTCAACTTATTAAGGTAAGAAGAAAGTGTACCTTGAAGAGTTAAACGGATGACTTTAAAGTTACTCAAAGTTGATCAAGTTGATCAAACGGGAAAATCTTAAGATTTTTATACATATTAAAGTTAACTTTATTTTCTGCATTCAAAATATGTCGATCCAGTATATACATATATATTCATGGAAGGAAAGCTTGTACTAATTTCTTTATGTGTTACTATAATGTCGATATCGGTTACCGTGCACCATTTACCACAAACTTTTCATCCATTGTTTGGTTCGCAATCGTCATTCAAATCGTAGATATATCTTCAACAAACATTACACATTAATATAAGCGTATATAGCTCAATCTAAAGAAAACACTTGTGTTTAGACATATTACCTCAAGGTGTTCAAACTTCTTCAAGAGTTGCGTAACCCTGTAAACTCCCAACACATTCATTTCAACGGACAATCTGTGAGTAAAACAAACACAAAAGATATCAAATACACATACTGCAATAGTGCAAAGAAAGTATAAAAAATCACGATCATTAAACAATTCCAACAAAGAAAACATTCAAAACTTGTCTCATCATCGATTTTTGTTTAGTCAAACGATAAGTCATGATTCTGCGACACATTATTAGTTCTGTGATAAGACCGTTTTAAAGTCATTCAATATCTGAACGAAGTTAACATGAAATGGTTTTGTGAAGAAAGATCGAGTCTAAATAGTTTTGGACGATCTCCGTGCAAGATGTCAATTATGGGAAAATTTTATGGTCGATAAAATGACCTCATTGGAGATTTTCTATTTCCCTTCGCGATAAGAGATTGGACCGATTCAATACTACTTAGTATGCTTGGTGGTACCATTTTTGTTAACCTAGACCTCACTTGAGAACTTGACATCATTTAGAATAACCTAGACGTGCAAGGGGGTGTCATCGATGCTGAGTCTCTTTTTGTTTTTAAGGGTATCTATCAATTGTTGCTTTCGTCATATTTTGCCATTATTGATTCATCGAATTAACGACTGAATTAAGTTTCTTTTGAACTGTCACTATTTACAGTATGGTAGACATAGGAATAATCAGATCATCATGTTTTATACCCACATTTCAAATGTACAATGGTGTTATATTTACAGGAAACAGCCCCCATAGGTTCTGGTGTCGGAAAATCGTTTAAGTCTGTGCAAGATGAATAATTCAAACACAATTTTAACAAATAGTCTATATCGCTTCGTCGATGCTATCTCTGCGTTCGGTTTGAATATGCAAGTAGGCGCATAGAAAAGACATGATATGACTGACAACTAAGTGGTATCAACGCAGAACTATTGAAGAAAAGCTCCCAAACATTACATTGATTTAGGACTTACATTGATCAAAAGATCTCCGTTCTTTCTAGCATATCTAGCGAACATCAAAACTATACATTGAAGATAAGAAATATATACACAAAAATTAATTTGTAGCCCAACAGTGGTTTGTACTGGTTAACAAATAATTCCTTCCAAGACTGAGAACTTACTCCCAGAACCATCAATCAAGTATATTTGGAGAAGATTGATGTCCACGGAATATGGAAGAAGATGTGTATCCTGCCATACCAAAGATATTAGGATATTGTATATTGGATGATATATTCCTGGTGTCGTAGGTAGAGTGGTGTATCAAATATGCTATATACGGAGGGCAATTTAGCCAAATTGATGTAACTCGTTAGTGGATGTTGGTACCGGGTAGGTTAATAATTAAACAGGTGCTTAGCATCACTGACGAATCCTAGAAGCACGGAGCAGCTGACGATGCCGCTTACTTAATGGTTTGGCTTTACCGTATCTAACTGTGTGTCTTTTGTTCAGTGATAGAAATCTTGCGTGGCTGTTAAAAATCGGTTCTTTAAAAGTTAACGATTCTCTTTCCAGAAAATCCGTGATTCATCATATTATTTCTGGTTGGTGTGTCCATATTGTGATTAATCTTTAAGTACATGTAATTAAAACTAACACTGAAACTAATTACTCTAAAACCTCGAAAATGGGGCGCGCTTATTTTCCTCCATTGTAAGCAAATGCAGGTTTATTTAATGTTTTCAATGTGTCTGAAGATTCCAACATATTTTCTTTGACTACATGTATGCTATATTTCTATCTAGATACTGCTGAATAAGTTCTTAAATATATGTCCATTAAACATGGTTATGTAATGGAGCAAAGAAATTGCTTTCGTAGCTATGTTTGCAAAACTGAAACGATTATCTGACGACTTTCAGAACAAAATACATACTTCAGCTCCTCGTCGAATCGAACTGTAGCTGCTGAATGGAAAACGACAGAAACCTCGTCAATTAGCTTCTTCTCGTCAGCTTCGCTAATTCCCAGATTATCGTGGACAATGTCTCCAGGTATAGGTGCTATTTTAGACCGGAAATCATAGTTTTCTTTGTTTAATGTTTCAAATATCTGAAAGCAAATGTGTCGCCTAATCAAATGATACATAGCATCACTGATGAGTCCATAAAGACGAAACAGCTGCAGTTGATCTCGTAAAATTACTGGTATCACCTCGACCACGCATTCATATGCATGTATCAAAAATACTTAGATTAGAATTGGCAGTGTTTTACAAAATTTAAAACAACGGTTAATAGATAATTTCATAACTTTTATGGATATGCCCAGACCAAAGAAACTTACAGCAGACGAAAACGTGGACGATCGAATTTCTGGTTGACAATGTCTGAACCGAGTTTGTTGGTCAGATAGTCCAAAAGAATATGGATATACCCTTGCGTGGCATGACTTTGGCTTCCATACAAGGTTGAATTTATCAAAGACCGAGCAAAGATCTTCATTTTCACTTTTAGATAACATTAATGGGATATTCCATATATATACAAAACATAATTGGAAACTCGGGAAACGACATACTCTTCTACATCAGCAGCTTACCTCGAAGTTTGTTTTTCTACAAGGAGCAACAGGGACATCTTTTCACCAAGCTGTATGATACTTTCAATTTCTGAATAGTAACTCTCCCGCTTTCCCAACGCGTTGCATTTGTTTCAATATTTAAGGACTTGTTCCCAATATTACGATTTTCGTGAAAGATGACTACAGCTAACATGTAATGCAGGCTGATGAAGCATTATCACCCTCGTAATTATCTCATGAAGAAGTAGTCTATTTCCTAGCGCGTTATGAAGTTGGTTGTGATTGATGTCCCGTTACCAAGAGTTACATGCAGGATGTTGTTATTCAAGGGAAATATTAGTTCTCTTGGCCCTCATATAATTTCACGTTTATACTTTTGATGTACTTATCTTGAAAACTTGAGCAGCTCCAAAATCTCCTTAAATCTTCTCACTTTTCTGTTGAGTACCTCTTCTTTCACCATTATCTTAATCATTTTTAGCTTTGAGTACTCATCTGTCTTCCTTACTGTACTCGTCTAGCTCATATATCTCCTTTATTAAACTCACTATTGATTTGAGAAGCTCCTTTTTCCCCTTTTATATACAATTCTGATTTTCAGTGGCTACTCTGTCTTCCTTACTTAACTCACTTTAAGTTTGATTACCTCTTTTAGATCCCTCAACGTACTCATTTAAAAAAAAGTTTGGTATTAGTAAGTAGCTCGGCTTTCTCGATTACTGTACTCACATTTCAGTTGAATAATTCCTTTTTTTCCAATTTCATACTCACTTTCGAGTTGAGAAGTTCTTCTAGTCTCTGACTGACTTCCTTGCCTTTTTTAGGTCGGATGAGGATGTAGACCCGACGGATGCCTGGACATGATCTAAGTAGTTTCTCCAGTAATGTCTTTCCCATGAAACCTGTTGCCCCAGTAATGAAGACACACTTGCCCTGGTAAAACTCTGGGATCGAGGTGAAAGACGCCATGTTACTTCTGAAAGAATGAGCCAATTCCTTGAATTAAAACTCATAAAATGTGTCTATCATGTATACATAACTCAGATGGATGCAAAGTTGCCAGATCATTTAAGCTGAGAAGGTGACATCGTATACCGGAGATAGTGATAGGAAAAGTCTCGGACTATAATTTCACTTCCGGGTCGTTGTTCACAAATGTAGTGCACAAGGAAATTACAGATCAGCAACTGTTTTTAATACATAATTATGGAAGCTATGAACTTAATTTCGTAACAGAAATGATATACTAAGCTTGTTCTCGTGGTAAAATGTTCGGCATAGTTTTACTGTTTATGTTTATGGAAGGACACACTGCAAAATGAAGGTTATTTCTTGCGTTCAAGGAATTTTCCACACATTCTTATAGATTAGTGAAGTATTGATATTGAAATAAAATATCTTTCTAAAATGTCGTTCATGAGACACCTGCCAGCTTACTGTAGGTTCAGATTGATAAGATCTACAAGATGGTATAACAATCAGATCCATTACAAAATTTCATATTTTGATTTTCGATTCCCTTTGGTAGCAAATACACGGAAATTAATCATGGTCCCAGGCCGGAAATCGCGTGCATGGTCAACAATTACAAACAATCCCGTGACCCGCGTGCAGGGGCAGTCATTACAAACAATCCCTTGACCCGTGTGCAAGGTCAACAATTACAAACAATATCGGGACCCTGAGAACCCGCAGTTCTATTGGTATAATGATAATGATGTGCCAAGGACACGTTTATACAAACTAGTCATTTCTGATTTATTTAAATATGCTGTGCATACAATATCAGAATGTGTTGTCGGGTATTAAGATTAAAGAATTTATCACAATTTGAAGTTAAATGTTTGAAATTTATAATAAATGCAATTGTGTACAATAATTACATTATCAGTTATGATTAAAAAAAATATTATCACATTTATAAAATAACTACAATTTATTTGGTTTATCGCAGGCTAGCAATATGGAAGTTTAACAAATGAATTGTCAAAATCGTTCTATTTTGTGCTGATTGGACCAAACAAATACTTCTTTTATCGGATACCCATTCGCCTCATCACAAGTTGAAAATTCAAACCGTTATGATTTCGTAGGCAAAGTCAACACATTTTCAAGACACAACACACTAAAAAATATCGTTCTACCTAAAACATGATATGTATAAATTGCACTTGGCAAAATGAATAATACATGACAAAGCAAAATAGCGCCAAAATCTGTCCATATAATGGATTTTGAACTACTGATTTACGAGAGAGAAGCCCAGTCGACTTTAATACTTAAGATGTCGTGTTCTGCTACACGGCTCGACCGAGGTTCCTTGTAGTCTCAATAAAAAGAACCTTTCGCGAGAAAAAAATGACTGCTGAGAGTGCTATATCTTTAAAAACTGTGCCAGGAATGTCGAAACGTATCTGAAGTGTCAGAAAAATACCATTACATGCACAAGATAGTGGAATATATTGAACCGTTGCGATAACATGTATCTGTTGGTGCTTTAAATATGTTAGTATTTATTCTACCATGTTAGCTTCCTCAAGTTTAATCACTGTTGGCATATGTGAAAGGAGATAATCACTTTATGTAGTTTGAAAGCCAAATTGATGTTTTTAACACCAATTACCGTTATCAAACATTAAAATTCATTTATATCAATACAGACGTTTGTGTCGTCTATAAATTGTCGTATGTTGTACTACCAGCAAAACTTCTACGAAAACTTAAACATGTTTGCTGCTTTTTCTGTTTTTAAAACCCTTTTATACGCGTTATTTTCAATCGATATAACCTTTTTACTGTGTGTTCGTTTTATCTGAATACAAAATTCTATAGCAGGAATTTCCGAATGTCTACTTGAGGCTAAATATTCTCGACATGTACTCATGTCAGTTGGATATACGTCATATTAAGTCTCTCAAATACCACGTTTGGTTTTCTTTCAGGGAAAGTCAATAATTTGTTTTCAAACAACGGGAACGTCTGTCTACGTTTTAAGAATGTTTGGCGGCCTAAGGCATTTAAGTGTAGCTGGAATTCAAAAATCGTTTCCGTTATAAAAGATCTAAGACAGGCATCGATATAATCAGTAGGAAATGAAACAAGGATAAAACTTTGTGGGCAGTTAAACAACGGACATGAAAAAAATATGAGGCAAACATCCGATACTTTGTCATTTAGGTATGTACTGCAATCGATGTGCACAAGTGTTGAGAGGAAGTTATTTACAGGGTTGTATAAAGTTTTGCAAGTAGCATAGATATGTATTCGCTATAGTTGAAGTAGCTGCCTTGTACTATAGATTGATAAAATCAACCTTGCTTGTCGTTATCCTTTTAGACGTGGAATACACTGTTTTTCTAAGGGCGAAACACTGGTCTCTCTCGGCGACTTATGGGATTACGAAAAACTTGACATTGGTATTACTGACTTCCATGTAGAAATCGTTGGAGAAAAATGATAAGGTTTCACCTTAAAGGCATAGCTCTAAGCACTTCAAATAACCAAAATAAATCATTCGTTGGAACTGACCACGGTACTGAAATATCCATACAACAAAACCTTGATTGAAACAATCGTAAGCAAGATACACAATAGCACGATACTACTAGGAACAATAGGTACAAAACAAAAGGTCCAAGAGGCCTGCATCACTCACCTGTTCATCAAATACTCAATGTACATCGCACATAGATTAACACGTGCGCCACTTGCATTCAAAGTGAGCACATCCAATCAATTTGACCAATTTAGCTTTCAACACTAGCTGCAGCTATGATCTGGATTAGAAGTTATAAGCCACTGTCATTTTTTACTATTGCAAAATTTGTAGGGCCTTTGACCTAGAAACACCTGTCCGTCATATATTCTGTTCCTCAAACTTTGGTTTACCAGAAGAAGTCTTTGACCACTGTGACCTTGAATATGGTTCAAGATCATCTCATTTCTATTTGTGGGGCTTCATCCCAGAGACCTACCTATTCTTCAGAACAGTTTGGTCAATTAGAAGTGGTCGTTTTTAGGTTTTAACGAATTTAACTCCTTTGACCTTGAATACGGGTCGAGGTAATTACTTTTTCAAACTTCGTTTCGCTTATCCAAGGAATCTGTCAGTCAAGCACCATTACTTTTGGACTCCTTTTTGAGACAGGGCGGATAAGATATTACGACAGAAATGAGTAAATTTGAATAGCGACCAGAAAACAAAAAGAAGTAGACTGATGCCGAACAAATGTAATTGCTGCATCAGACATGTCTTGGAATAATCTATATCGACAAAGAAGAGAAAAAATCTATTCGCAGAGTTCTGAAAGAAATAATATACTTTTCACTAACCTATGTCTAACTGATATGTTATAGTAGATGAAAATGGTCATTCACGTTATGCATTTGAGATCATGTCACTGTTTTGTATGTCCTTGGGTGAGATGTTCAAAAACCTTCAACGGACAATCATTTTAAGTAGAGGTTAAAAAACAACTGCTTGTGGTATATTGTAATTAAGTTTGGAAAATAATTACCGCGAGTGAAAGAAATACCATATATCAGATTGTGTGACCTGTTTCTACCACATTAAGAACCTTTTATGAAGTTTACTTTAATTGACCTGTTATGTAGCCATTTGTTTTTACGTCATCAGTTGAGGTGTCATATGACCTTTAGTGTAATGCCGCTAATTGATATGGAAAACTGACAATTTCACAAATGTTCGTCCTTTCAGTCAAGGTTCATTCTGTCAGCCAATCAAAACACGCTAAAGTACTACACCACAGGTGGTAAAACACAGAGTTTAATATAGTATCTAATGGTTTGGCATTTAATGTTGGTTTTATCAGTTATCAAAATTGTAACACGTGATTATAAGTTATGTTGATAGACCATTCTTTCATATAGAACCAATAAATCCTTTGAAGACTCTTCGATGGAAACTAGCACAGGGCTCATCCTTTCTATTATGAAGCAATCAGACAACAGCTAGCATACTGATGTATAATGATGGACCTTGAGTGTAACAGTGAGACCATAATACTTGAACTATGAACCGTTTATAAATGTCTCTAATCTAACTTGACGTAACCGACAATCAGACAATGGTATTGTTCATTCACATACGGTCACATCACACAGCCTGAAACTCTATTTGAACCCTATTGAGATATTGTCAATTTTCTGCTGAAATAAGGGATATATCGAACAACGTGAATTTAAAACGATTGGAAGATTCTGTCAGTTTTCTACTGATACTAATAAGTAGATGTTTACTACCAAGGTAACAGATAAACATATTAAAAAATAAATTTCATGGTCCAGAAATAGCGAATTATTTCTACCGCCGTTCCTATAACATGTACGGTATGTCAGCTTCTGTCAACAAATTTTTCCCAAACATGCTTGTTCACATAACCAATGCTTGTTCAAATAATTTAATACATTTGACCCGTTTAGCCTTGACATTGTACCAATGCTTTTCGTTTTAACAAAATTGGCAGCCCTTCATCAAAGTCACTGGTTCAATATGAGAACATTGCGACTCATGGTTATTGAGAACGAGTCGTTGAAAGCTGACGAAGGTCATAGTGCCACGGTATCAAGTTATCAAATCGCATCATCCCGGTATGTTCATAATTCATCCTCGGTACTAAAATTATTGTATAGACTGTGGTATTATACAATATTTGTTGAAATAGCCAACTTAACGATCGACAACATCCTATGTGGTGAATGACTAACATTTACCTGTCGATAAAAAGTGTTTAGTGTTTAGTGTTACTTTAAAGCATATTATTTTTAAGCAATCAGTTTGACTTATAGATATTCTTACTGTCACTTGATATGTCGTTATCTCCAATATCGTTTCTGAAACGTCTGAAGTAGCATTGTCGATAATACCCATGACAAAATTTCATGTAAATTCTGCATTCACGACACAGTTGGCTATCAATATCACACTCCCCCCTCCCCTTCCCCGCCCCCTCACAC